ACGGGAAGTTCCAGCAATTTGCCTTAAGGCACGATGCCATAATTGCCTCAAGACAGAATTCCACTTACAGCTAGTTTCACTTTTTTATTGGATCTCCGAAACCGCGAAATCTGGCTTCCAAAATTTAATCAGTTCTTCGCTTCGTCAGTACAAATGAAATGTTTTTTGAATAATTCAAATCGTACACTCCGTTCTCTCCAAAACTGAATTAACATTTTTGGCACTTCTTACCTAGTATCTTCGAAACGGTTCGGCCTGCCTCTGCCAAAAATTAATCAGAACGTCTCCCCATTAATACGAATCTAATTTTTTGTGTTCTCGAAATCGTCGAGATAAAATTGTATCTGCACACACACACGCACACATACATCCATTTTCACTAAGGTTCAGAATGCCATAATGTTCAGAAACCTTCCTTTATTAATATATTTTTGCAGCCTCAGCTAAAGTTCTATAAATTCAATTTGCTATGTTAAATAATTGTTTGTTCAAGCTCCGCGACTTTTCATAGAACCACTTGTATCAGCAATTTATAATTTGATTAGGTTATTTAGCTAAATATTCTTACATAGTGTTTCATATAGGCAGATTGACGTAAACGTATAAGCAAGAATAGGATGGGTTAAAGAATAAAAGTTTAAATAATACTAAAGTATAAATAATTATTTGTTATCTATAATATATTATATAGTTTTATAGTTATACAGTTAGTTAATATAGTAATATAATTTTGTTTTTAGTACAATTATTGAAATTTAAAAACTAGTGGTATATGGCATCGTGCTTTAAGGCAAATTGGTGGAACTTCCCGCACCGTAACAAAACGTTCCACGAATATTAAATATTTTCAAATAGATTATTATAAATATAAAGAAATTATATAAACTAAATAGCAAAGTTAAAATCATTTATTTAAAATATATAAGTGAGCTTTAGAACTTTAGCAAGAATTAAAATTAAAATCTGAATTATTTTCGATACACAAAAAAAATTTTTTTTGAATTGTTTTTTCAAAAGCAATTGTTTCGTCAACACAAGCAGAAAGTTTTTTGAATCATTCAAATCGGATTCTCTCTCAAAAACTGCCATTTTTGTACATTTAGCTTCGCATCTTTGAAACGGCTAGACCCGCCTTTGCCAAAAACTAATCACCACTTCTCCCCATCATTACGAACTGAATGCTTCTTGGATCATTCAAATCGGAGCTGGACCTGTCTTTACCAAAAACTAACCAGCACGTCTCCCTATCAATAGGAATCGAAAGTTTTTTGAACCATTTAAATCGATTGATCCATGCGCCCGAAAACGTGAACGAAAAAATGCGGATCTACAAAACACACACACATCCATTTTTTTAGGTATGCGAAAATGTTCAGAAACCTTCAAAACGTGAAGATATGCGATTCGATTTTCGGCCCATTACTATAACTACCCTACTAGAAGTTATTAAAGCATTCACTCCCACAATAATTAACAAAAGCAAAATAATAACAGACAAAAATAAACTATTGCATTAAGAATAACTTTTGGCAGAACAAGACAATTTTAAAATAGGTTTGGAAATTGTAGCAACATGGTGCAACTACTTTATGCGACATCTAGCAGATGTGACGCTTTTATTAAATTTTTCACTCCACTCCCAAGCATGTTAAAATTCTAATTAATTATTCATTCTCAAATAAATAGATAGCCAACAAATTTATTTGTAGTAATAGTAATGCTTCATTAGTACTGCTTTCATTATATTACATTATATTATATTACATTATACCCGAATCATAATTTGTATGTACTAGATAAATATTGAAACATCATGCAAATTGAACTGAAAATTTACTAAATATTTATTGTCAAATGTTATTGTCATTATAGTCTAAAATAAGCAAACTCAGTTTTTAGAACTAATACTATCCTTTTTGAAGTAAAACTTCTTTAGGCGCGACAAGGGTGTAAATCCGTACAAATGCAACGGAAGTCCGTTACGTCTGAACTGTTCGTCATTCGCTCTCGATGAGATCATTTCTATACGAGTCGATTGCGATTAGTCGTCGTGTATGGGAATAGCAATCTGTCGTTGTATCGATATCAACAAGGAAATTGGAATAGATAAATAAACATTTCAAAGTTACATCGTAGTACAAATCTTGATTTAATGAAAAATGCCTGAATCAGAAGAATATTTTACCCTGATCCTTGAAAACAAGTTATAAATTAAATTATAATAAAACAATAAATTCCATTCTAAACTGAAATTTTATACCATCAAAATTCAAACTATACTGACTTAATATCTATAAAGATATGATTCAAAAAGAGTGCGATAAAGTATAATTGTTTAAATGTTTCGATTATTTTAGTCGAAGCCCTACATTAAATTGCATTTAGAGTGAAAAGTAAGTTTTTATGCTCGATTTCAATAATTGATAACTTTGCTTTAAGTTAAATATGATTAGTTATTCAGATTAGTTCACCAACAAATGTTTTTCCTTAGAAAATTTAGCTGTCATAATGATGATTTTTATTGAAAAGGGTGCGTTGAGTACGGTTGTGACAAATTTTGTGGATACGGTTGTGACATGCATTTCTTATTATTTTCAGGTGTAGATTAAGCAGATCAAAAATTCTAACTTAGCGAACTTCTCATAACCAACTTTACTAACAGTAAGACAAAATTCTTAATAAAAAAGTAACATAAAATTCAATTAAGATAAAAAGATTTCGCAAAGAATTCTTGTTAACTTTGTCTAATAAACTATGTTTTGTTATATGTTGTTATATATTATTAACTTCACGTAGGGTAAGTTATAATTATCGCAAAAAAATCGAAAATGCAAATTTGTATATATCTTTACGTTTACCTTTAGAAAAAATTGATGTATGTGTGTGTGTGTTTGTGCATGTGTGTGTGTGTGCGGCGACAAATTTTCGTCGACGATTTCGCGAACACGGATTAACCGATTTTAACAATTAAAAAAGCATTCGATTCTTACTCATAACGGCAGGTCTAGCCGTTTCGGAGATATGGGGCAAAAATGCCAAAAATCGTATTTCAGTTTTTGAGATAACGGAGCGAAATGAACAACTGGTAAAATTTTTGTAAAGGCAGGTCCAGCGTCTCCGGAGATGGAATGAAAAAAGTGAAAAATAATTTCATTTGGCGGTCAAAACTAGTGTTCAGTCATATATATACATCGTATTATCATATATTTTATAAAGATTATAATAATAAGTACAGAAATTTCTAAATTTCTCAAAAATCTAATTTTTTCTAAGTTTTGCAAAGTTTTTTTTAATAATTTAGTTTTCGAAACGGAAAGTTACAGCAATTTGCTTTAAGGCACGATGCCATGCACCGCTAGTTTCATTTAAATGTGTTCAGTTATATATTATTGCTATTAACGACAATAAAAGTCTTTGCAATTACAATTGCTTTTAACCCTTATTTTGTATAATTTGATTTTATGACTAAACCATCGTGCTTAAGGACAGTATTTCAGTATTTCCACTAGGACAAGTTTTCGAATGATCACTTAATTTAGTTTAATCCCAGCTAAATGGTAAATTAACAAGATTATAACTGATCAAAAAAAGTGGCACAACCGCACCCAGTGTCTCCTACATATGTAGATTAAAATTTTTAATTTTGTTGTTTAACCTAATAATTAAACAGCATCGCATTAATTAAATGATGCAGCTAATATTAAAATTCATTTAGAATTAAAAATGAAATATTTGACTTTTTTAAAAATAAAAAAAACTTATTATTTCTTCCTGTACTATTTTAATATACACGTTAATGCTCGTATATCCCACCTGGTGCTTCTAATCAGGCGAGGGTGCATCTTAACATGTAGGGCGGCATGTGCGGCATGCGGAATTCCCGCAGCACAGATTAATTAATTACATTCGGATGCAGAGTGACTGCATGTCACTTCCGTATCCAACTACAAACCCGCACCAAGCCGAAACAGGATATGTGATAGGCGGATTTACAATCCAACGGTCTCACCGGTATTCTGGTAAACCAACATGCGGTGGTTCATAAATTTAAAATAATTCTTTAAATAAATTACACATATTTGTAAGTTCATAATTTCACAAATAAACATATATATTAATAGAAATAACTAGTGGAGCATGGAATCGTGCCTTAAGGCAAAATGCTGAAGCTTCCGAATGATACAAATCGCTCCGTTCTCTCAATAAATCAGATACCATTTTTAGCACTTTTTGCCCCGTACCTCCGAAACGACTTGACCTGTCTGTGAAAAAGCTAATCAGCACGTCTCCTTATCAATCGAATCGAATGTTTTTTAAATTATTCAAATCAGTTCACCTGTGTTCCTGAAGTTGTCGACGAAAATTTGTATCCGCACACACACATACCCGCATCCATTTTTTCTGAAATATGCCAAAATAATCAGAAACCTTTAAAATGCAAAGATATATAAAAAACTTTATTTTCGATTTTTGCGATTATTATCTACGGGAAGTTAAGAAGTTGATTTTGCCTTAAAATAGACCAATGTTATGGCAAGGCTATGTTATGTAGCAAATTTCATACAAAATCGTACTAAACACTGTTCATATACGTGAATGACATCCTGATTATGTTTGAGAGCATGGAAGAGCATCATCATCACCTGGAAATAGTGTTTGAGCGAATGCAAGAGCACTCATTTGTCATCAATATTGAAAAATGCGTCATGGGCAAGGATGGAGTAGATTTTCTGGTGTAGAAGGTTAGTGCAAATAGCTATTCTCGATCAACACACCGAGTGGACAAATTTTTAAACTTACCACAACCAACCACAGTTCTGGAATTGCGTAGGTTTCTCTGAATGATGAATTACTACAGGAAGTTAGTACCGAAGGCAGCAAGAAAACAATCACCGTTAAATAATTATCTACAGAGTTCAGTGAAGAAGGACAAAACTACAATTGTCTGGAACCCAGAATCTCTTCAATTCAGTTCTCTTTTAAGAACTTAAAGAAAGCACTTGCAAATGCAGCACTACTTCGATATCCAGATGCTTCAGCCAACATTTGCTTGATGACGGATGCCTCTGCAACAGCTATAGGTGTTACTCTGGAGCAGAAGAAAATGATGCCTGGCAACCCATTGGTTTCTACTGCGGAAATTTAACAACAACAGAACATAAGTATTCAACATACTTGGCATATTTGCTATAATAAAGCATTTTGAATATCTTCTGGAAGAAAGATATTTTAAAATCAAAACTGATCACAAGGCAATCACATATGCATTTCAGCAAAGACTTGAAAAGGCTTCAGATAGACAGAGACGCCAATTAGAATAAATTTTCCAGTTTTTTACTGATATTGTATATGTGAAAGGTGATGAAAATATAGAAGCAGACACCCTCTTAAGGATAAACACAATAGAAACGCCAACGAAACTGTCAGCTGAAGAAATAAGCATTGAGCAGAGTTTGAACCCAGAATTAAAAGTATTACTTGATGGAGAAACATGTTTAAAACTCCACAAATTGACATTGGATGGTTTTCCAATATATTGCACTATCGAGTCTAATTTTATTAAACCTTATCTTCCACAGAAACTCCACAAAACTGCATTCGACATAGTACATGGTATTTCTCATGCAAGCATCAGGACTACATCCAAAGATGTACACAAACGATATGTATAACCTAGAATTAGAAAAAATATTGCTACTTGGACTGGTCAATGCATCTCCTTACAAAAGTCCAAAGTTCACAAAGACAACCGCTTCAATCCTATGCACATTCCTGTACCTGATCAAAGATTTTCTCACATCCATATTGATATAATTTACTTACCAAATATTAATGGTTTGCCATACTGTTTAACAATTATAGGCAGATTTACAAGATGGCCGAAAGCTATACCACTCAGAGATATCACAGCTGATACAGTCACACAAGCATTGTTTACGTGCTGAATTTCAAGATTTGGGACTCCAACAACAATAACTTCTGACCAAGGCACACAATTTGAGTCTGTTCTCTTCAAGTCCTTGGCTCAGGCAGTTGGAGCAAAGAAGGCACGTATAACAGCTTACCACCCTCAGGCTAATAGAATCGTGAAACGCTGGCATATGACATTGAAAGCTGCCCTGGTGTGTTCTACTGAACGGTGGATCAAGATACTACCTTACGTGCTACTTGGTCTACGATACTCACTTAAGGAAGACATAAAGGCATCAGCATCAGAAATGGTCTACGGAACTACGTTGAGACTTGTTTATAGCCATAGTATCATTGATTATAATTAATTTTCATGCAATATGTACTTTATTCCTACTATTATCAGCAACACAAGAAGGGCCTGCGTGGCGCAATTGGCTGGCGCGTTCGGCTGTTAACCGAAGGGTTGGTGGTTCGAGCCCACCCGGAGGCGTTAAGTGAGTATTGTTTATACCCACAATTTTTCAATAAATCTTGTTTACACCCATTAGTATCGATGATTATAATTAATTTTCATTCAGTGCTTTACTCCTACTATTATCAGCAACACAACAAGAGCCTCCGTGGCGCTATTGGCTAGCGCGTTCGGCTGTTAACCGAAACGTTGGTGGTTCGAGCCTACCCGAGCGCGTTAGGTGACTATTTTTTATACCCACAATTGTTCAATAAATCTTGTTTATAGCCATTAGTATCAATAATTAGAATAAATTTTCATACTTTACTCCTACTATTATCAGCAAAACAGAAAGAGCGTCCGTGGCGCAATTGGCTAGCGCGTTCGGCTGTTAACCGAAAGGTTGGTTGTTCGGGACCACCCGGGGGCGTTAAATGAGTATTGTTTATACCCACAATTATTCAAGAAATCTTGTTTATATCCATTAGTATCACTGATTATAATCAATTTTCGTGCAATATGTACTTCACTCCTACTATTATCAGCAACACAAGAAGAGCCTCCGTGGCGCAATAGGCTAGCGCGTTCGGCTGTTAACCGAAAGGTTGGTGGTTCGAGCCCACCCGGGGGCGTTAAATGACTGTTTTTTATACCCACAATTGTTCGAGAAATCGTGTTTATACCCATTAGTATCAATGATTACAATTAATTTTCAAGCAATATGTACTTCACTCCTACTATCATCAGCAAAATAAAAAGAGAGCCTCCGTGGCGCAATTGGCTAGCGCGTTCGGCTGTTAACCGAAAGGTTGGTGGTTCGAGCCCATTCGGGGGCGTTAAGTGAGTATTGTTTATACCCACAATTTTTCAATAAATCTTGTTCATTTCCATTAGTATCAATGATTATAATTAATTTTCATGCAGTACTTTACTCCTACTATTATCAACAACGCAACAAGAGCCTCCGTGGCGCAATTGGCTAGCGCGTTCGGCTGTTAACCAAAAGGTTGGTGGTTCGAGCCCACCCGGGGGCGTTAAGTGAGTATTGTTTAAACCCACAATTTTTCAATAAATCTTGTTTATTCCCATTAGTATCAATGATTAAAATTAACTTTCATGCAGCACTTTACTCCTACTATTATCAGTAGCACAACAAGGGTTTCCGTGGCGCAATTGGCTAGCGCGTTCGGCTGTTAACCGAAAGGTTGGTGGTTCGAGCCCACCCGGGGGCGTTAAGTGAGTAGTTTTTATACCCACAATTGTTCAATAAATCTTGTTTATACCCATTAGTATTCATGATTATAATTAATTTTCACGCAGTACTTTACTCCTACTATTATCAGCAACACAACAAGAGCCTCCGTGGCGCAATTGGCTAGCGCGTTCGGCTGTTAACCGAAAGGTTGGTGGTTCGAGCCCACCCGGGGGCGTTAAGTGAGTAGTTTTTATACCCACAATTGTTCAATAAATCTTGTTTATACCCATTAGTATTCATGATTATAATTAATTTTCACGCAGTACTTTACTCCTACTATTATCAGCAACACAACAAGAGCCTCCGTGGCGCAATTGGCTAGCGCGTTCGGCTGTTAACCGAAAGGTTGGTGGTTCGAGCCCACCCGGGGGCGTTAAGTGGGTATTGTTTATACCCACAATTGTTCAATAAATCTTGTTTATACCCATTAGTATCAATGATTAAAATTAATTTTCATGCAGCACTTTACTCCTACTATTATCAGCAACACAAGAAGAGCCTCCGTGGCGCAATTGGCTAGCGCGTTCGGCTGTTAACCGAAAGGTTGGTGGTTCGAGCCCACCCGGGGGCGTTAAGTGACTGTTATTTATACTATCATCAGCAAAATAAAAAGAGCCTCCGTGGCGCAATTGGCTAGCGCGTTCGGCTGTTAACCGAAAGGTTGGTGGTTCGATCCCACTCGGGGGCGTTAAGTGAGTATTGTTTATACCCACAATTTTTCAATAAATCTTGTTCATTTCCATTAGTATCAATGATTATAATTAATTTTCATGCAGTACTTTACTCCTACTATTATCAGCAACGCAACAAGAGCCTCCGTGGCGCAATTGGCTAGCGCGTTCGGCTGTTAACCGAAAGGTTGGTGGTTCGAACCCACCCGGGGGCGTTAAGTGAGTAGTTTTTATACCCACAATTGTTCAATAAATCTTGTTTATACCCATTAGTATTCATGATTATAATTAATTTTCACGCAGTACTTTACTCCTACTATTATCAGCAACACAACAAGAGCCTCCGTGGCGCAATTGGCTAGCGCGTTCGGCTGTTAACCGAAAGGTTGGTGGTTCGAGCCCACCCGGGGGCGTTAAGTGACTGTTTTTTATACCCACAATTGTTCGAGAAATCGTGTTTATACCCATTAGTATCAATGATTACAATTAATTTTCATGCAATATGTACTTCACTCCTACTATCATCAGCAAAATAAAAAGAGCCTCCGTGGCGCAATTGGCTAGCGCGTTCGGCTGTTAACCGAAAGGTTGGTGGTTCGAGCCCACCCGGGGGCGTTGAGTGAGTAGTTTTTATACCCACAATTGTTCAATAAATCTTGTTTATACCCATTAGTATTCATGATTATAATTAATTTTCACGCTGTACTTTACTCGCACAATTTTATCTCTTTGACTGCTAGAATCTAACTGATTCGATCAAATTATAGAGTAGTATTAAAGATTTATTTTTTTCACATTTATGTAAAAATCACGTTTATCGGAGCCTCCGTGACGTAATTGGCTGTTAACCGAAAGGTTGGTTCGAGCCTACCTGGAAATGTTTATTGTACATACCCAATAGTATTCACTATTTATAACTAAATTTCAAATACTATGTACTATAAAAAGCATCCCGAGAAGAGCTTCGGTGGCGCAATTGACTCCGTGACACAACAATACGGAAGGACTCGGTATGTAAAACGTTTTGGCCTTAATTTCACGATTCGCATACACGCGACTCCTGTGCTTTTAAACCACTTTGATAATGATCGAAACAGGCAAGTGTTTTATGCGCACAATATAAGCAAATAGTTGTATAAGGTGCCTTCTATGAAGCTATACGGCGACGTATAATTATTCAATGTTGTATAAAACGCAATTACGTATAATTTAAAATAGAGTCGAGGGCAAATTAGATTTTTTATGGTGATTTATATGTTGTAGTATATTTAAATACTAGGTGTAAGTGGCATTTTGTCTCAGATAAAATGCGTAATCTTTACGATATATGTAAATAATCGCATAGCACACACATACTTCGTCTAATTCTGGTGTCAAACGATTCAAAAAGTCTTGAAACGTCAAGAAAACATAACGCCTAAATACATTCAAATACGAGTATATAGAGAAACTTCAATCAAAAATATATAAAAAAACTTTCAATAAAAAGAAGAAACTCTTGTAGTTAGCCTTGTGTGTAAAATGGTGCAAATGGATCGAAAAAAATCGATCCGATAATTTTCAATTACTATAGACCAATAAAATTAATAATTAACTTCCCGTCGGATGTGTTATTGTAATCGTCCAAAAATCGAAATTGAAAATTTTTGCATAATTTTACGTTTCAAAGGTTTCTGAACATTTTGGTATACCTTTGAAAAAATGGATGTACGTGTGTGTCTATATGTATGTGTCTATATATATGTGTTGGATACAATTTTTGTCCACGATTTCGGGCACTCGAATCAACCGATTTGAAAAATTCAGAAAACATTCGATTCCTATTGCTGGAAAGATGTGCTGATCAGTTTTTGGTAGAGACAGGTCCAGCCGTTTCGAAGATACGAAGCACA